TAATTGACCTTTGTGCACCTTTATATACCTTTATATTTGTTATACAAAAATGCACGTAAGAATACAAGTAAAACAAGTATTTGACGATGCAGACATTATTGTATGTCTTTTGGATTCAGACCAACTAAAAATAGTATATTTCTTGGCATGATCCAAGGTCTATCTTGGAATGCAAAGTACATTATCACTATTTTGAATTACATATTACTCTGACGTTTGTCTTTCAGTGTTCTTCTACATTTTACATAATCAATTGATGCAAAGAATTCGAAATATGCTTGAGCAAGATTTTTTGTTTCAATGAGTTTTCAACAGCATCAATTTCACAAGCTGTTCAATATCGGTATGAATTCAAAAGCTATACCAGAAACAGTTGTGTTGCTCTACCGAAATATTGTGCCACAAAACACAACATAAAAAACGTGTGTGTGTTTTTTTTTGTATTGGAACAATGAAAACCCTCTATCTTTAACGTACGTAAAATAATTATGAGTAAAAAACACATATTCAATTAAGTATGATATTAAAGACCACACATATTTCGTATACAATTATAAAATTGATATTAAACATCTAAATGATTGCAGCGTTCATAGGGGTCTTTGATGCAAATATATCCAAACTGAATAACCTTGCAAGTTATTCTCTTTTGCTGCTCCTTATTGGTTAATTATACAATATCAAAAAATACTAAAGGTTTCCAATTTAGAATCTTGACAAGTGAACAATGAAAAATTAGCAAATTGACAGAATTGGTATGCATATCAAATAATAACAATATATAGTGTCATATAGAGATAACGTAGACTAGAATACATTCGTATTTTGTAAACTTTGGTGCGCAATTCTAAGATACAGTATCCAATTTATTTGATTTATTTGATATATTTTATAGACTTTACATTGAGTAAAATACTAGCATTCGAGGGCATTTGAAATATTGAATACAAACTAATGTGCATTTGATTTAAACTTAAACATTTGAATATGCTTCATTATGCTTTATTGGAAATGTGCTTTAATTGACTTTGATTAAAACGTACTACAAACTGCTATATACTATAGCTACATATCGTATTTCAAAATGCACCCATTAAAATCCTAAAACCAATATTATAAATATACACATCAACAAGAGATTTCATGCTGCACTGATATCTTTAGAAACTGAAGTACAATGTATGTACAATAACAACTGATTAATTAATCATATTAATTAGCATAGTATTTATATTTAATATTCATATATTTCTTATTCAGTTTAGCTTTTCTTTAATATAAAGCTATACCTTAAGGAACGCGACATGTCAGGAATATTGTTATAAAAGAATTTATCCTATTTAAAATATATATACAGTTATATCAAAATATTTTTTCAACTTGAACTAATATCGTTGGTAGATCGCATGGGATACGGCGTACATTTTAATAGATCTAAATTCGATTCAACTGAGCCTAAAATTGTCTAATATGTTATATCTCTGCTGTCGGGTTATCTACCTGTCTCAGAATTGTTGTCATTCCATTCCGTTATCAGTGTCGGTTTAGCAAATAAACATAAAGTTTTAACTCACGTAAGGAATTGTTTATACATTTATCATGATCAACCTAAAAGCTCATCTTATTAGATTTTCAACATTTTTTTTGTTTTGTTGTTTTTGTTTTGTTTTTGTCTTTTTTTTTGGGGGGGGGGCATGGTGTTTTGTTTTTCTAACTTGAAGAATGAATGATACAGACAAATTTGGTGAGCATTTTGTCTCAAATATAGAGACAGATCATCTTTGCAGTCTGACAAGGCTCTAATAATGTTGGAAGAGCAATATATTTATTAGTTTGATATTGTAATACTTTTAAGGAATTCCACTTTGGTCCAAACGCCTACCGACACAAAATTTGAGTTTCTTATATAGATAAACTGGGGCACTTAAACCAGAAAAGTATGCAGAAGATAATAACTAAATATACTCAAAATGAATTAAAAATATATGTTAAGTGCTATTCTTATCACGAATTGAGTTACAGGCCTTGATTGTGTCATTTCACACAAATAAAATGAAACAAAAATAAGATTTTCCGGAAAAACGGAGATGATCTGAACATTTTAACATGATATTTGTCCAAGTCTATATCATGCACTACTCAAATCTCCAGAATAGTGTCAGACCCGTCGTGCCCAAACACCTCAATGGATTTTAAAACTTTAAACTATAGTCTGTCCCATTAAAAAAGGAAATAAACTTTTGCCTGGTGTGAATTAACAAAACGAGGTTGAATAAAAATTTAACTATTTTTGTAAACTAAAAAAAAGTCACCCTCGAGATTTTTCAGGATTTTATTCTAAAGTGTCTACTTTTCTTGTGAAAGCAAATTTTGATTTCTCTATGGAAAATCTCTGTTGTTTATTTTCCGTAGCCATTGCCGAAGTACTCTTCATTTGAAGATGAACGGGAGAAAGCACGTGCCATGTTTCTAAAATATACATGAGGTTCTCGGGGTCGTTTCATGATTATTTTAAAAAGCTGGATCTACAAGATGTAATAGTTTAGTTGCAATGCATGATGGAAAACTTTAAAAAAAAAGAGAAAAATAAGCAACAAGAACACCGAGTCACATGGATAAAAGATTTAGAAATTACACTTACTTTTAAGCTGAATAGAATTCCTATGAATTTCGGAATAGATCTTTATAAACGTCACTTCTGAAGATTCCTTCATTGCCAGTTTCAGAATTCTATCCAGTCCCGTAGATCCGATTTTTTTACTTTGAAACTCCTAAATGACATGACTCCTACACTTATGATGATCCAGATTTTTTAAACTGTTAATGCGTCTCATTATTAAAACATTGTTCAATTTGTGGAGTTATCTGGGTTAGCAAATGAAATATGTAAATGAAACACATCATAATTCAGCATGTTCCAAATCTATAATTCAAGAACGGCCCATCAATTTTAGTTGTCAACATCACAATGCTTTTAACTGTTGAAAATGGATTCCTGGAAAAAAACTGTATAAATTACGTCAACAACAATTTACAAAATATATGACGTAACAAAAATGCCTCGCGCTTTTTATGGATGATTCCAGTTGCGGCATTGACAGAGAGCGGTTAGGCATGCATATGTAACCTCAAACAGATAATTTTAAGCGTTGAGATGAATTTGTCTTGATGACATTTAAAATAATTTTTGTATAACCAGATTTTGCAACTTAACTGTAAAAAATAGACCTTCTATTCATATATAAATAATAAAACTTTTGATAACATTTAAATAATTTTAAACACACTTAATGACATGAATACTTCTTACATCAATTACATATAACATTCGTTTTGATTTTATGTTTTTAAACTATTTTACATATTTCTCAGAAATAATATTTTCATGACTTCTGTAAATCCTACTCTTTTAGCTACAAAATATACAATACGCGGTATTTTTCTCCCGCGAAAAATATGCTAGAATTATGGCTTTTTCACTGAATATTTTTAAATTTTAGGAAGGCTAAAATTATTGAGAAAGTCACTCGGTGTTTCTCTTTGACTCGATCTCCTCTTCATATTAACATAAAAATTATATGTTACACTTTGAGTCTAAAATAACACGCTTATTGAAAAATCCAATTCAAACTTATTCTTAATAATATCAAATCACTGACATTTTGTTGAACTGTGAGACGGGAAGTTAAATTTGTATTTACGAACTTTAAGTGTATAGGCCTACGTTTGATTGCTCAAACTAGAAAGCATGATATTATATTCTTATAATTTACATTTTCCTCGAACGCGAGTCTGTGTTCTCTCGTTAGTGAGGGAGTTAGTTAAAGTTGACACTGTGGTAACAAGCAAACCAATTCTGAACGTATAGTGAATCAGTTTTCCTTTCTATATATTTCTTGTCAGATTTGCATGATAAAGTAGTATTTGTTGGCGATTTCTTGTGAAAGTTGAAACCTACGGAAATTTTTAGCGCACGAACATCGCACCCGAAATAAGAAGGGTAACATTCTTGTATCCCATCGAACCTGGTCAATTTAATTATTTGAATAGAAGTGATACATACTAATGAACAGAATTCAGACAACTACATAATTGTGTAAATTAAACATGAATAAGCGAAGAACCATTTTTTTAGTCTTCTAGCTGGGTCATGTGGGGGTTGCGTTCATTGAACGCCGCCTTTCCTTGTTGATCTTGTTTATCATATTCTAGCTAGTGTTCCCGCTCCCCTACGACATGTTGCGGTAATTAAGATACGCACTTTATTGGAAAGCTATCTTATCAAATCACTTCATTGTTCTTTTTATCTTAGAAAAATACGACAGTTTATCATGGTAATTAATTTAATCTTTGTGTGTTAGAATTTATAAAGCGGCTAGCGATATTTTTGCTTTAAATGATTTAGATTATTTGAAATAATAGTTTGCTAGTAAAATTGCCTTTTTGACACCAACTTTGTTCTCATTTTTCATTTTAATGATAACATTTAGCTATTGATCAGTAAGTAAATAAGAATAATTGAATTTTTTATAATTACCGAGTACATTTCACTGTAATTGTGAGACGAACCCTAAATGACGTCTATATGGGCGCCGCCATTTTGAAATGGACGTCACGTCAGGTTACAACGTAAGTCAACGGGAAAAAATATAAATTTAACATTTTAACCACATTACTGACTTTATGAAAAAAATGAAAAACATGCCTAGAGATATTGACGTCAGGGTTAAGATGACATTAATTTAAATGATTTTACTATTATATCAAATAAAAAATGGAATGTTCAAATTTGATGGGACAGACTATAGTCAAAACAATCACACAAATCAGCAAGATTCGGATTAGAACACTTCTGATCAAACAGATTTACATTAAAATGGACTATTTGTCGATGTTGATTAACGTCTCTGGAAAGAAGCCTTCGTCATAAGACACATAACACAATCAATGATTTCACTTGCAGGCGTTATTGGTAATTTTGTATGCTAAGCGAATATATATTTCAGTAGTACAGCTAACTCAAAGTTTTATCTTATGTACTGTTATTTGAAAGAGAAAATCTTTGTATTAATTTCGAAAGATTTATTGATGACGATAATAATTTAATATGTTATTGTTAATTAAAGGTATAGTTTTATAATGTGCTGCTAAAGTATTTGGATACGGAACATATATTGTATATGTTGTTTCTATAAAATATACGATTTCTTTTTCACTCAGTCAATTATTTAAGTTGGATATACGTACATGTGATCGGGTAAGATTTAAGATTTTCTTTCTTATATTTATTATGTCTCTTGACTGTGTATGATCAAAAAGTTCATGTATACAATCTAAAAAGTCAGAAATACAAAAACTAAATTTGCAAGAAAAAGTAATCGAAGAAATCGAATGAACTATCCTTACTCTTTGAAGTAATATATCCTCGTATTAGGCATAAAACGAAGATTTCATTTAAAAAGAAGTTTTTTCGTAAAGCACAAAACAGTCGTGGACAAAACAGAAAATTAGAAAAATAACTATTTAATTTTATCTGTCATTTCTTTAGTATTAATTGATCAATATACATGTATCTTAATTTCTATCATCAGAAAGCCAAGTAGAGTTTTAATATTTATCCTAACTAAATTGAATATGAAAATTGTTCTAATGGTTTAGAGACCTGCAGTTTTAAGAGAGGTGTCAATAAATTGTTATCTTAATATCTATATCACAGTCATGAACTTGTTTGTGCATATTTTAGAGAGATTACTGTGTGTTATTACCTGCAATAATATGTAGATAACGTGCTTAAAAGCAGTTATGCTAACCTCGCAAGTTTAAACTCGTTTAAATACTTTAAGATAATTTTTGGAATTTTTTTTTACTAATTTTACGATACTGTCATAATCTGTTCGTATACTTTAATTACGTTTAAAGCAATGTGCCACTTTTACAGTTGTTTACAACTTTCACAATTCTGTAACCCACTTTTGCAATATTTTGCCACTTTTACAGCATTTTCATCACGTTTAAAAATAATTTGACAAAGAATAATGTAAACAAATATTAACTGGGCACAGTAATCTTATTCAATTCAAACTCACAATTTTAGTATTATAATTTTACTTGCTTAAAACGTATATTGTTCGTATTTGAATTAATAAAATAACCTAATAAAATCTTGTTTAAGTCTGTGTTGTTATATTTTTGACAACAAAACTAAAATCGGCTAAATGCCAAACATATGTTTGACGTATAGAAACAGTATACGATGCCAATTTTCCTGCTCCAACAGGTTTTTTCTTTCTTTCTCGATTGTCATAACATGTGTCAAGATGTCGTATAAAAAGGTATAATTCATTAATTGGATGGGCACATTGATCGTATTATGATGCAATAACATTATTAAAAGCTCTATCATTTTACTAGATCAAATTATACGGGAAATGGTAAGATAAAACTAGCTATTCGTTGTCGTCATATTTTTATATCGTTGTACTAAAATAATATGTTTACAGAGACAATAGGGCATGTTTAACTTATTATATTTTACCACATGGTTAAAAGTTAAAACTTAGATAATTATGTCCTTTAAATGTTAATGGGGACAAGGCCTTTATGATATATAATAAATCATATAAAACTCAGTCAACAGTTTTTTCTCAAAACATTTTATCAAATTATCCAAACTACACATGTCTATTATTTTATCAAAATATGTAAAACGTTTCGGAAAATGTGTCTATAGTAAACTAACCGACTTTAAGCACTTTAACATAATGTCAATTGACGTATTAAATTTGCAAAGACTTTTAAAGCCTTTTTTCATCTTTTTATAATAGGAAACAGTACGATATCATGCTTCCTAAGAAGAAGTTAAACACGCTTTTCATTCAGCCACAAAAAAAGCAAGAAAAGAAAGAAAACGCGCTAATGTTTAGGTTTATCTATCTTTTATTAATTATTTATTGTTCAATATTTCTTATCATAAATGACTATAATTATTAAAATTAGTGTGAGCATTTATCGTATCAATTATATGTAAACTATATATCAGTTATATATATCATTATGTATGTAAATGATTCCGAGAAATCTTATTTGGAATGAGAAAGTGTTAAGGAGCTGACAAAAATGTATGAAATGTCACGAATACATTAATACGTCTTTGTTTGATATAATATGACTGTGTATATTTCGAAAGTGAATGATGCAAATATGTATAACAAGCAATAATAATAACTATTTAATTACTATTTAAGATACATCATGTTATTTTATGTTATTTTATAAATGATATTCTAATCGTATGACATAATACCTGAGAGCATAGGGGGATTTTTATCAACTCTAAAGTTCGTATTTCTATATTAAATAGCGCATGGAAACGCTCGAACTTACGACAATAAAGGCAAGGAGGTGAAATAAAACCGGTAATATATCCCATTTATGAAGGCAATTATATCGACCCTCAGCCTTTTGCATGGACGCATGGACCCAATATCTGTACCGATCAATAAAGTTAATTCAGTAAGCAGATCAATATAAAGTTCGTCATAGCATTGTTAAGTTATGCAAATCAGTATAAAAAAGGCGCCCAACACCTTTCAAAAAGTTATGAATTTCAATGCATGTCCTATTTCTAGGGTCAGCAAAAGAGACTACATGGCATATTAACGTTACTTACAAAACATGAAGAAATATATTGATGCAGTAGAATGTTTAACATGATTTACGTTTTAACATGATCGGTAGCTCGATTTTCTCCAACAAATTAAATGAAAAGTTCTGGATCGACTAAGGAAATAATAACCTCGTATCCTGCAGTTTCATTATTGAACTGTTGCAATAAAAGATGAAATTTTAGGAAGCATTTTACAAGAAATATAACCGGGCTTAAATTGACATTTAAAGGTTGGGGTTTACGTCGCACCAAGGCTGTAATTCGCATGGCTACTTTCCAGCTTCTGTGTTGAAGAAATACCTCAGGTGTCCCTTCATGCATTATTTCAGACACGACCAGGCACCTTAGCACATCCAAGCACGTACCGTAAGCAAGCTGTATAGCTTTCTCACAAACATTAAAAAGTAAAAATCCCAAGCTTGATTAGAACCCGCAGCAGTAAGGGGCAAGTATTTTAGGAACACCGGCCACGGACGCTCTTTTAAATGAAAAAGAAAGCGATAAGCGTTCAAAGCACACATTTCAAGATATCTTTCTTTTACTTTTATTTTTCAATACAAAGCGTATTGAAAGAATTCGTGTAGAACCAGATAAAGTCAAAAGATTAATATCAATTAACCAGATAATCCATAATGCCTTATCAGGTTTTTCAATTGTATTAAAAGAAGTTGCACAAAAACTACTGGAAATCAGTTAAAATCGGGTACTGGATCAGATAAACCAATGCCACATAAAACTGCGTAAGCTCTGCGTTCCTACGATGTTAAATGATAATTTTACATTGTAAGAAATGTATGATACTTTTCGTAAAGCTGTACACTTCACGGCGTAGTCACTGCAACGACTACAGAGCATACACGGCGACCCACTGTATCCTTTGTGAGTTTTATTTAGCAATTGTGTGCGCTCGTTCTACGCATCCACTGCATTCTTCGCGCTTTAACAGCACAAGTACAGCGGTACAAACACAACAGCGTCGCAGTGACATCTCGGAGAACGCCGTCTATTATTTCTACATGCACCATGGATAACTGCAGCGTTCGCACTACCAACTATGTTCTGTTGAATGGACCTACGGCATGCGCACAGCGTTCTCAGTTCTGTGTATGCTTAGCATGCTAAATTAGCACGCTTAAAGGTCATTGGGTGGCGTTGTATGCCTTTACACCGTTCTGATTTTTTATCAGAGATATAAGATTTAAGTTTAACTGAAGTTTTACTTTTGGGGTTGCATTCATTGTCCTTGTTGATCTTGTTTACTTTATTGTATTTGAAATGACTAGACTAAGTGTTAGTTTTTGTTTGTTTATAATTATAAAAATATTTGATGTAGCTCAGTAAAGCTCAGTAAATGTTTACAAATCCATAACCAGTAAAGCTTGCTTAAGACTGTTTCTGCTTGGACTTTTATTACCTGTATGTCAATCATACGGGTTTATTCTTCTTCTCCTGTACTGGAAACAAACAGTTCCTAGTCGATTTAAGTTCTAATTACACTGTATTCCGCTGTTTCTATACTGACCAGATGCAATTCAAATCACGGATATATGTTTAAAGAATTAACTATGTTGTCAATACGTCAAAGAAATAGCAGGGAAAACACCTTATATTCTGACATTCTGATGTCGTTCTATTTTTCCTTACAAATATTTACTTTAAAGGTATACGATGTTCCTGTAGAAACTGAATTGAATCCATTGAAATTTACAATTGCTTTTTTACAGTGTTTCTTTTATTAAGTATGCGTTTGTAATTTCAAAACTGCAACATCTGGTATCATGGTACTGCATTAAATGCATATGAAGTTATATTATTAATGAAAGTAGATTTTTGGCATATTTTAAATTGTAAGTCAACATAATTATAATTATATTCGTGATATACCGTTTAATTTCTTATCATTTATTCTCCATATACCAATCATTTGTTTGCAATAGTCTTGGACTGACAGCAAATAGTAGTTGTTTGCAAACTGGTGTTGCTTGAATGAATAATATATTGATGCTGAGAACTTCATATGAATATTATGAATTTTATCTACTAATTTTGTACAAGCAAAAATGCTTGTGATGAATGGTTTAGCAGAATAGAATAAGCGATGAAAAAAAAACTTTGCTTTTTTAAATTAATTTATTTCGACATTATCCAAAATGATTGCCAAAACGTTGCCGTTGAAATAATTTATAATCATTAAAAAATGAATAGTTAGACAATTTATCGTTCATTTAAATTAATACAATTCATTACCTATAACATTCTTCTTCCTACTTATGAATTTATATTTATTTCAATTATCATCTATAAACTGTTTCAAATAACTGGGGTGACTGATATATTTGATGAACAAGGGGAAATAAAGTTATTAAGCGTGCATTTATTATTTTATTCTCATATCAATGTCCTTCGTGTATTTTCACAATTTTCATTGTTGTAGAAACTTTTACTTTTATTTCACCCTCTAGGAATATTGAAACAACTTTTCATTTTGTGGTAAATTAATTTACACTCTTGTTAAGGTGATGATATATTTCTCTTTAAGTAGACCGATCGAAATACGGTATATCATAGGGGCGGAGTAATTGCTTTTGTAATGAATACAGTAAATATGGAGGAAACAGATACATGTATGTCCCATGTTTTAAAGCTTGAAAATGACACAATAGTTTATCATACAGTTTACAAACTAGATATATAAAGTTTATCTATAACTTTCCATCAGACAGTGCTTACTTTTACATGAACTTTGAGGTTATACATGTATAATGAAAAATCACTCCATTCCTGACCGACCGCGATCCCCATTTCCTATACCAGATCATATTCGGTGCCCCACTGGGGGCTTTCCGATCTTTCTGATTTATTGGATGTTGTAGGGAACGGCGTTCTATAAGCGTCGCATACCATTATTGGTACTTATATTTAAATCATGACCTTGAAAGACCGATAGGATGTAATATGTAATTTAATTGCGCAAGAACATGAAATGCATGATCAAATACGTGGTTTCGCTAGTTAAATCGACATGCCAAAAAGATAATGAAAAAATATACTCATGGCGAATCGCCGTTAATTATATATTAGTTTTTGTAGGTGAGAGGAATTACAAAAAAAATACATAATTTGAGTTAACAATATACTTGTTTTAATACAGAGATCATTGTACTTTTCAAAATAAGGTAAAACTTCCCTGATATTTTCGATGAGAATAGTTTTTGTTTAAACAGGCGGTGAATGGTTTGATACAGAAAACCATAATGTATAGAGTAACAGCGGAATTAAATCGAAAGTATTATCTTCAAATACTTCAAAAATAGAGAATTTAGAATCCTACTTAAATAGCAGGATAACATTTCATTCAGGAACATTTTTTACTGTTTACGCACGCATTTTATTAGCGTATAATAATAGAAACATTCTGTGTAACAACTATTTCTGGAATCAGCCATACGAGTAAGGAAACAACAAAATTTTACCGTTTTAACATTTTATTGAGTATTTCATAAGTGAACGTTATACCTGTAATGTAAATTTGTTCTTACAATAATATGATAGTAATTTGAGAAAAAAATGTTCTTAAATGTATATTTTGTTTGTTTGCTTGTTTGTTTCTTGGTTGGTTTGTAGGCAGTTTTGGGTAGTATCATATTTTTATGGGTTTTTTTCTTCTCCTTCTTCTTCTTCTTCTTCTTATTATTATTATTATTATAATTATTACTATTATTATTATTATTATTATTATTATTATTATTATTATTATTATTATTATTATTATTATTATTATAATTACTATTATTATTATTATTATTATTATTATTATAATTATTATTATTATTGGTTTTTGTTGTGCTCTTTTAACTGTTGTAAGATCGTTTCAATATACCTACAAATTCAAATAAAATTGTTATTGTTTGATGAAAGCATTAGGCTTATAAGAACATGAACTAAAATGCCACTTAACTCGAGAGACAAAAAGTGGTATTCTCTTTAAAGCTGATGAATATGTTTGTTTATTTATATTTATAAAGCAAAATAATACTACCATTTGAAAAACAGATTTGGACGGTTTCTCTTTCGCAATGTCCGTTTGTTAAGTCTTATTTTTAATTTCGTGACTAGATTTGGAAAGTTGTCCTTATGATAATCAAATGAACAAAGTTTTTTGTTTGTTTGTTTTGGGTTTTACGTCAGATCGACACAAAATGAAGAAAGTGAGAAACTTATTTTATTATAAAAGTTTTATAGATAAATAACCAATAAAAGATCTTAGCGGCTTCTTTTAATAGTTCCACAGGTTTTTGTTGAATATAGATTGTTCATTCGTTACATATGTCTTCTGCTGTATAAATTATATGGTATGATAGCACATAGCAGTGAGATATAGTCTTCATTCCATCCGAGTAAGTTTAGCAGTTAATTTAGTGTTTTATTGCATCGATCGCAACTCCTTCTGCTATAAGTCTAGCTGACCTTCTTTACACAATTCAACGTTTTCATGGACGAGAGGGAAAGTGTCAATTTGACGGATCGGTAATTATTTGCTGTATCAGTTCATCTGCAAATATCTCGAAATAATTAATTATTCCTATGTCGATATAAAAGATAAATTCTATATAGGATGGAGCTTTTGGACGCGGATAATATCATGTAGCGTTCCACTTCCATCAATGCCTAGATAAATCTAACAATGTATCAAGTATCAAAATATAAAAGATATAAGATTGTCAATAAAGTGTTGCCATACTTTTTGCCGTAGCACAGAGTATTGCAATGATTTTTTGTTTAAGAAAATAAAAATATTTTTCACAATTATAGAAACATGCCTACATTTCATGTTGCTCGACTCTAATAATGATTATACGTTATCAAGTAATATTGTGACAAAAGTTTTATACCATAATTTTATTAATTTATTTTTTAATTTATTTAAATATTTATTAATTGATTTTTTTTATTTAGTCGTCTCGGTCGACCGGTTGGTTAGTAGTCCATTTAATTCAGTTGTTATTTCAGTAATCTAATTTATGTTCGAATATGATCGAAACTTACACGATCTCGCGAGTGACAAAAAAATCTTGCCAAAAATACCTTAAGGACATTTGCTACACATTTCAGACAGACTGCCGCTCGTTCATGTTTTCAAGATCTTGGAATATGACAGAGTAAATTAAAGAAGGAGCCGCCTTCAGCAAACATACATTTCGAATTTTTATCACTCGTGTTTCCGTGATGTCTACATAATAATTCCCCATCTGCTTAATACTTTTAGTCTTGAAATTGTATATCAAATATACGTCGGACATGATAGTGTGTGCCTTGTAAACACTGGAAACATTAGCAAACAAAAGTTTGTAAAAACGGCAATAGTTTTGTTTGAAAGTAGATGAAAGAACGTGCCGTATTTAGACTAGTAACAACTGTTTTATATTAATATGATAAATTGTACACCAAACTCATTTTCTTTGCAGATCAATCAATCAGAATGGAGAAAATGCAGATATTATGTTACGAAATAATAGCACACGGTCCGCCAGGGCCAGGTGAGTTTTTGAAATATAAACATGATTATGTCTTTCATAAAATTTGAAATAAATTTACTTTTTCTATCAGACCACTATCTCCAATTTTGATAAAAAGTAGAAAAATACAACCCTAAAACGGCAAATTTGAAATTTATGCGAGCACGGTTTGATTGTGTCGCCCATGGTCGGTTGTAATTCATAAATAAGCTACTTCCACTGTACTAAGCATCAGATTCAGCAAAATTATTCGCCAGTCATGAGCATAACTTTCAAATCAATTGTCAGATCAATCGAGGCAAAAATTGAACCTTCTTACTTATATATATGTAAATTCAATGTTAAAGTCGACAAAATTTATGTACACTGTACTGTTTAATGAAGAACAATTTAATCCGTCTTAGTGTATTCACTAATACACCTTGGTGAGGCGAGGTGCTATATTTGCAAGCTTCACTCAAATAACTTTACAGAGTTCATTTGAATACAAGACATATTACTGAAACGAGCATACTGTGTTCACTAAATTAGGCATCTGATATTTGCATTGTTTGTATCTATTATGTTGCATGGGAACTCAACAAACACACATGACAGATATTTATGAGAACATAACAAAACAGTAATTCGTAATAGTTAATGTAAACGTCATGCTTTTGTAAATCGGCTGAGAAAACATAAAATCCCTTTGGTTACTTATAAATATTATACCATCAATCAAGTAAAAATTGACATAAAAGGTTACTTAATTCTATTGCTGAGATTTATCAAAATCAGCAGCAAGTCTATCTGACTTCAGATGAAATATAGAAGTTTTATATAAAAGACAACGATATCAAAGAAGATTTAATCAAAATGTGTCTGAACAAATAAATTGAAAAAGTCAATCCGCCTTTCCCTTGGTGTTTTATTGAAAAGATTTGCTGATTTGCTTTTTTCATATACATGTCATTTTTATTGAAGGATTGTACTGTAACGCAACCTGGGACGGGGCAATGTGTTGGGACTACACGCCCGCCGGCTCCCCTGCCATTAAGCCTTGTGCAGAGTACATACCAAGCTTCAAACCATCAGGTATATGAAATACAGATTTATTATTATACTTAAACATGTATGTTGATTTTCTGTCCTTCAGTTTTGCGTTCGTTTGTTTTGTTATTTCTTTATTTTTTTCATAATAATTTATTTATTCATTTATTAATTTATTTATTTATCATTTATTTATTTATTTATTGTTTTCAGTGTTTTGACTGATCAACTGATAAAATCACTTCTTTTGTCGTCTTTAACGTTTTGACAAAACTTTTGAATTTCGCCAAATTACAATAAACACTATCATTAAGGTACCCAATCATTTCAAGTACCGTATGGATCTGATATGGATTTGTTTGTATTCCGGAAATAAAAAGCGATACTAGATGGAGTACAATATTAATTTGATATGCAATATTTTGCACTCGGAAAATGAAATGATTTGATTCAATAATAATAAATATTGGAAATTCACCTGTTGCAATGACAGAAGCTTATTTGTTACACTTTATATGGTATGGATGCTTCATCGTCTAATCTGTATGGAGTAATATTAGAAATTGATTTTTTAAATATTAAATCAATTATAAGAAAAAAAATGATTTTCCACTTTTCCGTTTTTACATTTACCCTGAATTTAATCAATAATTAAATTGCATATAATGTTACTGATTTCAATAACATACATGCAAAGCTTATTAAAATGTTTATTTTGTTGGAAACGTTATAAATCTATTACCATATTTGAATAGACCAATGGCGTTACTTGATTAAATTGCATGTTTTACGTAACGAGTATCACAGTCTCATTAAGTGTAGGAATTTCGCAAATGAAACGCCATTCAGTATATTGTTATTTTTATGTGTCAATTAATTGAAAGTGCATTTGGAATAACAATGCATATGGGATTAGGAATTTGTAATCAAATTATTTAATGAAATTGTTAATATCCGTTCTTCCTAAATAATTCATAAAAGTCATCAAATTAACATTGTTTTTATCATCATTATCATTTCTTAATTAAACACAATATTATAACATAAATTACGTTCAAACATTTTTGATGAAAATGATTTCAAAACAGTACTTATGGGAAGATAGTATGGTTCTAAAAATAGAAATACTTACATCCGTATCAACAATAATATATATATTAATTTTACATATATATAAAAAAGTATGTTTTGGGAAATGCAGAGTACAAAGTTCGTTAATTTTTTATACGTTTATTTCTGTTAGCGCTTTCAAATGTTTTCACATATCTTCAGACAGTAACGTATAATATAATCATAACAAATATAACAATGACGTAACGTTATAAAAGTGCGGGAAACGTAAAAATACGACGTTGCGCTGCAAATGAAATTTTCTTTTACTCTCTCTATAAGAAGTATTGAATTGCTACAAAAATACATAGGGTAAATATTCTATAAAGGGAGGTAATAAATAAGTATTAAAATTCAAAACATTGACTAATTATACAAGGAGATACAACGTTTGCATTACTAATAAATACTTTTTAATATTAGTGAGCTTAACGAGTAAAAATATGTCAGAAAATGTTTTACTTGAAACCACGTGGAAATGGAAAAATATTTACTTATATAAATGTAAAGGTCTTGCATGAACCTCATAGACTAAATAAAGGGAGGTAATAAATATGCTTTAAAATTAAAAGCATTGACTTATCATAGACGTAAATGCAAAATTTAAATTACTAATAAGTACTTTTTTTAATTTTACATTATATACGTCTGGCGATACCAAGTGTTCAATGAGGACCATCAAACATTCAGACGCGACGTGGGTGATAACACAAAACAGGAATCTGTACCTGACAGTGTATTAATCTTGAAAAAAATCAAAATATATTCAAATGTAAAAATACATTAAACGTAAGTGAATAACCGCTGTATAAAACGTATGGCAAAGATTTACCGGTCGGTCGTGGTCTGCATTGGAAAATATAGATGATAACTCGCCTTTTTAATGCTTTATTACAGATAATTTATTTTAGCGGTGTTAGTATACTTTTGTGCACAAAAGTGTTATGCATTTACATTTAGCATTTACCTTCAACAGAATACATATTGGTTAAATATTGTAGGAAGGTTTATAAACACAGACTCGAATGCGTTTTTGAAACAAAACAGTACTAAGCAGTGAGAGTAAAGTTTCTTTCTCAAGCCACAAGATTTGCTCTTAAAGTAAAGAACGGTAATCAATACAAAACGATAAATGAAACCTGTCATAAAATCAAAGGGCTGCCACTCTATGGTATTTTCTGATCTTTGCAATCTAAATCATACTGACTATCTGTATGTACTTTCCTGTATAAGTTTATTTTTATATACTATAATTCATCTTACGCAGCGACAGCGTTTTGATTTTCTTCTATAACAGTTTGAGATTTACATATGGAATTTTGCATGAAAAATATAGAATTGCCTCGACTAGGATTTGAACCATAGGCTTCTCACACCCTCAACGAGACCGCTTACCTCTGCACCACGGCGAAGTTATACATATGAACCTTGAATAAAAACATTACATTATGTAATTCTAAATTGAGAATTTCCATTTCGTGTTTGTAATCCTTATTAATTTCGAGGTATTTTGTTCACGATAAACGTGTTGTTTTACACTGATGAAAATAATTTATCGAAAATCTTTTCGCCAAAACAGTCTGACATGTATATATTCCACTACTCGACAGTCAGATTTATTTGTGTACTACGCTCTGGAGTATTCGGTAATCGGCATAGCTAAAAATAGCATTGTCATTGATTAAAATGATATTCATGATAATCCGAAGCTTTGCGGAAATAGCCGAACATTTTTCATTGGGTAAAAAAGATATTCATCCGCGAAATTTGTGATTGTAACCTCATATTTCTATTGACTAATCTAAACTTTTAATGCACTGTAATTCGTTAAATGCCTACATTAAAAATTATTCTTTCTTTTAAATTGCTGGTTTTTAAGCAGTTTTGAGTGAGAACTACTTTGCGTTGTTAGGACTGTTAGGAAATTTTGTGTAAGACCGTGGATGTTAGCTATGTATTTACTGATCTTACGATCAGAAAATACAAAAACTGTATGTCTGTATGTGCACCGTCTATATTTATTTGTGTCAAATACATTGTAATAGAAGACTAGCTACCGGCAGTCAACGTCAATAACAAATATGACAAATGACGGTTTTGATAAAGTTGCGCAAATAAGGAAACCGTAAAATGCAAATTTAATTCGCATTACCGCTTTAAACTTTAATGGACAAAATCATATATAATAGCTTTGTTACAATAGAGCATATCATTGCGAAAGTAATGTCATTGTGGGAAGGGAAATGTATGTTGAAACACCTACATTCATTTAACCTTTTAACTGTGACATTTAAACACGGGGGAGAAACTGTTCGACGAAGGATGGAGTTCTTATGATAATGTGTTATGAATTCTTATGATTGCTGTCACGGAGTTCCTCGAAAACGTTACAGATTTTTTATATTGGAGAAACACGTGTACAAAATATTATTTTTTAAACTTTAAATGGAGAGTTTGAGGTGCTACATTAAACTTTGATGATAAAGCTTGCCTTACATATTTCATTATGTGTCAGAAAAAAATCTATAGTCCATTACATCGCCTCTTGTTTAAAATCTGGTTGTTTCGAAAATTTTCAAATTACTTGCTTAATCGTACATTTTTTTTATTTGTAATCGTCTTCGTTGCCATACTTTATTACCTTATTATATATGACCATGATAATCATTAAAATACTTATCCATATGTACAAAATGAATACTATGTACGTTGTCATTTTTACAGTAAAAAATAAATTCTTCTGTCAATGATGGGCATTCCCCCTATATATTCCTAGTTGTGTAAATTCTGCTACTTTTGCTGTAATTGATATGAAAATGTAGAGTCGAACTTCTTTCACTCGAACCCGTAGGGCAGTGCAAAATTGTTGAGGAGATCGGACGTGAGAGCCAACTGTGGTATAATTTGTTTTAACGTGTATAAAAATATCATACATTTCGGGTGCATAGCTGTGAAGGTTATCTTGGCTAAATACTTGTTTATTATGGTATAAAATGATACAAATTACTTAGCCGCTACTATAGGAAAGTCCAACTATATATTGTCTGCTTAAGAAAGGCAATTGCTTAAAGCATGTGTTACTTAGAAAAAAGTGTAAGCTTTTCAACATCTTTGCATTTTTCATTTATACGCCAACCTACCACATACTAACTTAACGATGTCATCATAATACAATGTATAGATATGCATGTGTATTATGAGATATATATTCCTGTCTTCACAAGAAGAATGTAGTTACTGTAAATTCAGCGTTTACATTTGAAAGGAAACTTAAATCATAAAACTATAGTCGACGAACAGTAGACACAGAAAAGACATTAAGTGCATATGTTCGGTTTTATGTCAATATCAATTCGCATAAGTTTAATTAGAAAATTTACTTTTGAACTAAAAAAACTCAAATTCAACACGATATAACCAATTGTTCTGGTAAGGATGAGCGTATAACGTTTCATTATGATTTACACATTTATTAAATAATAAAATATGCTAAAACGTGCCGTAACTAAGCATAAGAAACACATCGGCAGTAGCAAAGGTTGTCTAAGAAAGGTAGGACATTTTCAGAGTTATCACAAGAACTCTGTGACATTTGTAAAGTAGGGCATGAATTTGTTAGTGGGGGCTTTTAGCAACTTTCCATTATAATTAGGTTATTTAATATGGCAACGATGAATGTTGCAAACGGACAGGTCAGTGCGTACAAATGAGCATATAATTTTGAGTTTTTACTCCAAAGTACCAAATTTCAAGCAAGAGGCGATGGAAAAATGGACTTAAAAGCTTTTTCTGACACAAAATACAATATGAAAAGCAAGCTGAATAATCAAAGTTTAAATAAGCATTACAATCTCCCTTTTTAAAGATAAAATTACAATTTTTAACGAGTGTTTCTTTGGTATATAATAAAAATTCCGAAGAAATCCGTCACGTTTCTCCAGAACTCCAGAACAGTTATTATATGCATTACTGGCGAGTTATCATAAGAACTTCAACCTTCGTGTTACAGTTCATCCCCCGTGTTTAAGAGCAATATCGTATTATACTCTATAAAAAATATTTTGTATCAATCACTTTTTTCCCCAACATTTTTTCCTATAAATATTTCATTTTCATCTTTTTTGTGTTTGGAAAGCTGAAAACAAATGAATTTAACATTTCTTTACTGAGATTATATTTGTTTGCCATATTATACCTGTCATGGCGTCAAGATAAATTATTTTTGACTTGAATTTATAAGATATTTATTAAAATTTATATATGGAATGGTTATGCAGATCTAAAGAATAGAGTGTCAGATATAACTTATTTATTGTATTGCAGTCTATTTTATTATGACTGACACATATTGATGTGTTTTATTTCCGTAATGTTTCATCAATTATTTCTTATGTCTAAAAGCATCCTTGTTTTTTCAGGGGATGTTGATTTGTTAAATTATAAATAATATGATTAAATAATTTAGCGACTTTATATATATATCAGAAATTGACATCATAAAAACTAATTTTTACACTCCCTATAAAATATATACATATATATATATATATATATATATATATATATATATATATATATATATATATATATATATATATATATATATATATATATGTAATTAACTCAGTTTTTTTTCTTTTCATTTCATCGATTATTTCTCATATCGCTTTCTGCTATATAATATACACAACATACTAAGACCATTCTCAGCCATTTAATATAATCTTTTATAGCAAGAATTTAAGAGGTTTTCAAAGAAAGTTACTATTTTCAATATTGTTATCGATATTTGGTACCACAAATCAATCACAAACGCACGGTTAACATGTGCATCATTTATTATATGACTTATATGAAACTTATGTATTGCTATAAACCTTGTTGTGTACATGATATGGACCTCTTGATGATAAATCTCTAATTAAAACTGTATAAATTATTTACAAATCAAATGCATTCTATAAAAAGCGAAATCCCTTCACTAACAACCGCTGGCAAAAAATAATGTTTTCTAGTACACGTGTACGGAATGGGAATACGAATTGATTTGTAGCTGTCATCTAGTACGTCCGCACCATTGCAAGGAAAGTCCATGCCACTGTTGTTTACGTTCTCTAATTTGCTGTCATCAATACATGAAATGTCATACAGGAGTAGCGATCATCTTTAGCCAATGCATAACAAAAGAGTTATGACTCAAATTATAGACGAGGTGAACTCTAATGGAACGTGATCATTTCATAAAAAAACTTTTTTGTTTTAGAATTTGCGATTAGGGAATGTTTGCCAGATGGTACATGGAAACCAAACTTTGAAGAAACAAACAGTTCTACAGTTGGTTGGACCAATTATACAAGATGCCTTAGCACAAACCACAAACCTCAGCTTCCAATAGACAAACATGTACGTATATTAACTATAAAGACATTTATTTATTCAAATAACGATCACTGTTTCCTGTTTGAAACGTTTTAAGGCACACAACACACACAGTGATAGTCCTATCCAACACTGATTTCTTTTACCGCCATTACGAAATGTTGTCTTTTCTTGCTGAATACGCTCATTCACCAGGATATTTAGTACAAACAAAAGGGAAGTTGTTCTGTAACAATCTATGTCATTGTAATGACGGGCATGTTGTTTTTGACTATTATTTAATGTGTCAAAATAGTTTTTCATCTACGGCGAGCCCAGTATATAAGACATGTTGCTAGCCTGTCGGTCATCTAAACGCTACAAATCATTTTGAATCACCAAATGTCTTTTTCTCAAAACGGTGTGTAATGGTAACTAACATCAGAACATAAAGGGGCATACGTGGACTTCCACACAATCGGGTAATAAAATATATCATTCGTGACGTTTTATAAGGTCTCTGATTTAAGGTACATGAATTTATAATGTTAACATAGCTCAATTGAAGCACTAAAATGGAAACCTGCAATTAATGATAAAGAATTGTATTCATAATAAGACTAATAATTAATATGTTTGTGCAATTCAAGGCTAATTTACGTGCATCGCTTTTCAAATTTACTTATTTTAAACAATAACAATGATTGTTCTATTTAAACGGGGAGATAGAATGAATTTGCACACAAGTTATTGGTTTCGGTCGATATAAAAAGTACACAGATCTTGGTGAAATATTTCAATGTCAATGTCATATCGTAGCGCAATGGTACATTATGTACATGTACATATTTTAACAGCTGATTTTTCGTTCTGGTCATATAAGTTTACAACCCTGTTTACTGGGCCCCAATATGACCTCAACCAAACATTAAAAAGTCTAAAGTAATAGCTACTTATGGATTTAAAGAAAAGAAGTCTTCAAAAGATGTTTATAATGTTACTTTATTTTATTTACTTTTATTATAGAATCATCTACCACGTATACAACTGATGTCAGAGATAGGCTACGGAATATCATTGGCATCACTTATCGTCGCTGTTACAATTATGATAGCTTCAAAGTAAGAATTTTGTTGTTCTTTACATTTTTGTGTCATATTAATATTATACATGTAATTATTAAAATTTAGTTTAGTTTAAACATATTTTATTGCAAATAATTTACAAATGATGAGTATAAAAAAAAGCAAATGGGTTTGGCAAATAAGATTTTGCCTTTTTACAAGTATGAATATCACATTACCTTTTGTATTTTTGACTTGAAAAAAAAACATGCTAAATATTACATTTGTCTTTTTTATTTCAGAAGGCTTCACTGCAAAAGTAACGTGCTTCATATTAACCTATTTTGTGCATTTATTCTACGGGCTTCTGTTTCATTTCTAAAATCCCTTATCTTTGTTGACGATATTGGCCTAGAAAAAGATATCATTCGTAATCCAGGAGGGACAGTGGTATTTAAAAATGACGGACTGGTAATCTTGATAATTATATATTTTTTAATTTATTTTTGATAATACAATACGTTATTATTTGTATATTTATATTGATTATACATTGTATTTATTTTTTAGGTAAAAATGGTTTTATTTTCATATTTACTGTAATACACAAACCTACTGGCAATATAGCAGAATTCTATTTGCTCATTAATGATTAAATTCATGCTCGATGTGAAATTGTTTCGCGAAAAGAGCAATTCAAATGATTTCTATGAATGTTACGTTATACATTTTTCACGATTGGCCAACGGACCGTTATCGTATGACTACGTTGTTTTGCCCCGTTTTCATATTTTGTCTATATATTTAATATGCAAATAGATTATTTGACTCTTGTTGCACCTATAAAAATCAATGTCTACTTTAAAATTTATAAGCATAATTTATATTGTTTATTTTTCTACTGGAAACCCGATGTTAATAATGTATTCAAGACAACTGTTTCGGAAAAGCCTATACCAAGACCTTTGTAAACATACATTTTAAAAGCACATAAAGTTTCATGTTGTTTTTTGGGTTTTTTTTTTTTGTCTTTTTTTTAAAAAAAAAGCGGCAACATCTGTTTTGTTACGTCACATATCTAAATATAGGGCATCAACAGTGATGTTGTTGCCTAATAACAAACACTTTCGGTTTTTCTATGTTCAATAGGGGAAAATGCGGATCGTGTTTGAATAAGGATTAATATAACTTTAATTTACATTCTAATCGCCTGACGCACATAGTGTCGGGTGATAAATAATTTGTAATTTCTTATAAATGAGAACAAAAGGATGTTTTGACTTCCAAACCAAATACTAAATAACTATAACTATAATATTAACTGCCAAAGAGTAGTGGAAGTAATAGATGACTCAACTATTTGCCAATGAGTTTTGGACTTGGCTGTAACATTCCATCAAAATAAATTAAAAATAAAAAATTGAAAATTGAAAATAATACCTTTTAAGTCTTGTTTTTGTGAGGCTTTTAACTAAAACGTTTATAAATTTATATAATGATTTCTTCTTGAGCGATACATACTTTTTTATACATGTACTAATTTACCAAATTAACTTTTTTTATTCATTTTAGCACTGGGAGTGTAAGTTGATTGTTAGTATATTTATGTACGCGGTTGCTACAAGTATAATGTGGATCTTGATGGAGGGACTATATCTACATATGCTTGTATACAAAACACTATTTACAGAGAGACATGGTACACGCTTATATGTGTTATTCGGTTGGTGTAAGTAATTTAGTTTTCTAGCAGTGAATTTATAGAAAAACAATTATATTTTAGTTCCAAAACATCTGAAATCATATAGGTGTCTTAAACGATGTAGTTGTTTAAATTCATTTAATTGTGTAAATAGGTCAACTATGTAGTTACACGTTGTATATATTTACAAATTGTAAATATAAACGTACTATAGTATGTTACATGTTTAGATAATTTTAAAACTTCTAAACTCACGCTAGCAACTTCAGAAAGCTATTTTCAATGAGTAAAACACATAAATGAATAAAAGGTATTAGATATTTTCCTTCTGATTTCATGTTTTCAGTTTCATCGTTAACCTATGTTATACCTTGGATTCTAGTGCGAATGTTCAAAGAAAATGAGTTGTAAGTTTTATTAGATTTTGTTTAAATGTAATAATTGTTTTTTTGTCTTCAATTATCTTAACATATAGTTGGACAATTATCTTTTACATTATGAATGCAAAGATTTTCAAATGGTTTAATTTTGTTAAAAATCATAAAGTATCAATTGAATATATTGGAGATTGTGTGCTTATAACTAATTTTCTTGGACCGGTATTGAATGAAATTTATAAAATGGCTTCCTTTATTGTGATGATAATTTTGATATGTTAAAAATTGTTTATATTGCTAGATGTTGGAATCGACAGAAAGCGGACGGCTATTTCTGGATTATTAAAGCCCCTATGCATCTTTCCATTCTTGTAAGTTACATAAAGCTTTAAAAACATTTTTTTGCTTTTAAATAAATTGATTATATAGAGAATATTCGAGTGTTTTTTTTTCAATAATACACGATTTATTTTCATCGAGTGGTTCTGAAAATAAATACTTCATGAGTGGCGGTAACCACGAGTGAAATATGATAATTTTCATATCACAGGATGAAAAGTAAATCCTTTATTTATAGATAAAAAAAGAATTTTCTGTTTATTATACATTTTTTCTCTTTCTTGACATTTTGGAAGACTTTTGCTTAAATTTTGTATTTTGGTGAAACTTAAAAAAGTAGCCCGGTAATGACAACAGTGAAAATATGTTTCACTGCAGTGAAAAAAAATTAATGGTGAAAATACGGAAAATGAAAATACACATTTTATTTCATAAATATTTTTCAATACTTCATATATAAGTTTATAATAAATTGGTTACATCCACATTTTGTTCCTGGCATCACTGTTAAAATTCAGTACCGTTGCAGACTTCCACTGTAAGATTATACATGATTCAAAATGCAAATCTGTCAATAAGTTTTAACACGTTATAGATAAAACACGACAACGCTCACATTTCTTTCAACGTAAGCATACACAAAAATGCATTTTGTCATGAATTTAAATGTGAAATATCTATACACTATGTATTTTATAAGATAACAAGCATTCTACTTTTTTCGTGCCTTTACATTCCGCAATTCTTGTTATGTTTAAATTAAATTTTAGGTTCTTTTTGCGGGTATGGAATATATACATTATAGAAATTCATGTCATTCTTAAATTAATGACGTGAAGAATAAAAAGAATAGCACAGAAACTCAAATAGTATTTGAAACGGGAAAACGATATCTTATCTCTCATTCCATAATAAATTATTGCATGTCACTAAAGTGACCTCAAGAAATTGTTATGCCAAAAAGGTTCATATACTTCATATAAGTTTAACTTTATTTAAAGAAAAATGTTTACACGGTATATGATCATTTCTGTTGATACCTTGTTATGATTTTGTCTTAATTTAGTTTTATTGTGTATTTCATATCCCTTTTGTGTAATTTGTTTATATTTAATATGCAATCATTTGACATTGATGTTATAGTTGCGATATAATTATTGATATTTAATATATCTTTAATTTCTCAGAACAGGTGGTACACATCATTGCCTGTTTAAACATTATGTCTTGCATTTGGATACATATTGCAGTTTTAAGCTGTGTACGTTTGAAATGATACATGGCCTTTTCACATGAATATAGGGACATTTATAAAGATTGGTTTTCGGTGAAAATTTAACACAATATTATAAAATACACCTCATGAATACAATGTATTGTTTGTCATTGAATCTCATTTCAGGTCAATTTTCTATTTTTCATCAATATTGTACGAGTGCTTTGTGTGAAGTCAAAGATAAGCCGGCACGTAAGAAATGATACACAACATTTGAGGTAAAAATATTTGAATATGGTTTAGTTCCCCCTATAAGAAAATTATAAAAGATAACAACTATTCGGCCTCTAGTACTGCCGTCTATGTTCTCGATATCTTTATCAACTTATCCAATATATTCCAAAAAAAGCACACTCAATATCACTTGATTTATTTAGACACCTTTGCTTGTAACGACTCTGTAAGTATTTATGTAAAGCAATATTTGAGGACGTTGTTTTAATATGATACCAATCTCAATACTTCAGTTCACTTCTTATTTATTTTAGTTAGAGTAAATTAATGAATACTTAATGTTATCAGTTGTATTTAGTAGTTTGTTTCTCCTTGTTTCATTCCTATATATAAATTTTATTTTTCTGTAATAAAATTAATCTTATTTTTTCTTTTTATCATTTCTTGATATAAATGGGTTTTTTAATATTTCATCTGAAAATTGTTATTCTTTTTATTGTAAATCGTGTCATAAGAGTTTTGCTGCTTTTAATTTTCTTATTTCATAAGATATTGTTATTATATTATCTATAAAACAAGCTATGGTCCGGGTTTCGTTTTGAGTAATACAAAACATTCTAATGATATAGCACTTATTCTTATAACTATAAATTAATTACTATTTTAGTACAAGAAAATAATGCGTTAAAATTGAAATAATTCTGTATTTCAGGAAGACTGCAAAGTTTGTTCTGGTGCTTATACCACTGTTTGGGGTGGTATATATTGCTTTTAATGCTTATCCTATTGGAGCATTCAATATGGAAGCTGATTTCATCTACCTTTATTGTGAAATGTTTTATAATTCATTCCAAGTAAGTTATCCTCCTCGGCTTACAGTCAACATATATATCCTCCAAAACGCCCAAAACAGCAAATTTGAAGTTTTTGCAGTCTGTTTGATTTTACATGTTTGTTTTAATGCTTATCCTATTAATTCATTCAAAATGTAAGCTGATTTCGTCTACCTTTATTGTGAAATGTTTTATTATTCATTTGTTTGTTATTTGTTTAATTGGGTTTTACTTCACACCGACAAATTATAGGTCATAAGGCGACGTTCCAGCTTTACTGATGGAGGAAGACTTTAGGTGCCGTTCCGTGCATTTTTTCAAGCACGAACGGGCACCTGAGTAGAACCACCGACGTTCCGTAAGCTAGCTTCCTCACATGAAAGAATCCAAAGTTCCTGTCGGTATTCGAACCCACAGCGGTGAGGAACAAGCGGTTTGATTTTACATGTAACTTGACGGTAATGGTAAGTTAAAAGCTACCTTCTACGTCTCCAATCACTAAAAATGTGTTTGATTGTGAAAAGTTATGTATTCTTGTTGTTGCAATCTGTATTTTTACACTTAATAGAAGCACATCTTATATCTTGTCATATAAATTAATGATACCGTATTTTTACAACAACAAAAACAAGATACACACCGGTATATTCAACTTTTTCACAGGATTCTAATAATAGCCAAAATATAATACAAACATAATAAATATTTTAAATGTTTGAGAGTCGTCGGTAAGTCATACCGTAGAAATACAGCTCTTGTGGTATATTTCAGGGATTTGTGTTAGCACTGCTGTTTTGCTTCCTTAACGAAGAGGTAACTACTTTCTATTTTTATTTTTTATCCCCCGCCGAAAAATTTCGGCGGAGGATATAGAAATAGTCTCCGTCCGTCCGTCCGACCTTCCGTCCTTCCGTCCGTCCGTCCTTCCGTCCGACATTTTTGTCCGGAGCATATCTCTAAAAGTATTTGAGTTATCAACTTGAAACTTCATAGGTGGATAGACCTCATTGAGGAGGAGTGCAGTGCACAAGAATGATAACTCTACCTTGCATGATTTTTGAGTTATTGCCCTTTGTTATTTTTCAAAATTGATTTTTGTCCAGAGCATAACTCCAAAAGCCTATGAGATATTAACATGAAACTTCATAGGTGCATAGATCTCACTCAGGAGGTGTGCAGTGCCCAAGAATGATAACTCTACATTTCATAATTTTTGAGTTATTGCCCTTTGTTATTTTTCATGACTAATTTTTCACCTGAGTGGAGCATAACTCAAAAAGTGTTTGAGATATCAACATGAAATGTCATAGGTGGATAGATCTTATTGAGGAGGAATGTTGTGCGCAAGAATGATAACTCTTCCCTAAACAATTTTTGAGTTATTGCCCTTTTTTCATGCTATTTTGTCCAGAGCTTATCTCAAAAAGTATTTGAGGTATCAACTTTAAACTTCAAAGGTGGATGGATCTCATTGAGGAGAAGTGCAGTGCTTAAGAATGATAACTCTACCCTGCATTATTTTTGAGTTATTGCCCTTTGTTATTTTTCAAAATTAAGTTTTGTCCAGAGCATAACTCAAAAAGCCTTTGAGATATCAAAATGAAACTTCATAGGTGCATAGATCTCTGACTCAGGAGGTGTGCACTGCACAAGAATGATAACTCTACCTTTTATAATTTTTGAGTTATTGCCCTTTGTTTTTTTTTCATACTTTAATTTTTTCTCAAAAAGTATTTGAGGTATCAACTTGAAACTTCATATGTGGATAGATTTTACTGAGGAGGGATGCAGCACACAATAATGATAACCTACCCTGCATTATTTTTCAGTAATTGCACTTTGTTATTTTCAGCCATCAGTATTCACATAGTTTTCAAATCTGTAATCACTATAGCCATCAGTTTTCATTACCAAAAGACCTCCTAAAATAGAATTATTCCGCTCTACTACATATACATTCTTCCAATGAGCAAACACATTTGGCGGGGGATGGCCATGTTGACATGGCTCTTGTTTATTTTCTATTAATGTTTTTATCATTGAACAATTTATTTTTACAACATGTTAACTAGCAATGCCTGTACTAGAGAGAGAAATTTTATTTCAATACATCTGTGTTTTGCATTGTCGGTAGCAGATACAAATTTTATGTTATGACATTTGTTTAGGCGATGCCCGGATCAGAGAGCACTTTTTCTGGCAATTGTGGTATCATTGACTAGCAATGCTATTATCAGAGAGTTAAAATATAATTATCACCAAAGATGCTTTAGTTTTTCTAGTTAATGTGTAATTTTATACCTTTTTAATCGCTATTATTTAGTAGGACATTTGATTCAAATGGTACTTTGGTACTTTTCTGACCACACTTTTGGCTAGTCAAATGCAATTCCATTAATTTAGGATTTAATTATAGGAGTAAGATCTTATCATTTAATGGCGCTACTAAACACAAGGGTTCAGATTCTCAAATAAAAATGTACATTATTTTACAGGTTCAAAATGAAATCAAAAAATGGTGCTTTAAACGCAAATTGAATACGTTTAACACACGTTCCATATTACTTTCCTCTTGGCGTAAACCATCTACACGACTGTCACGTGACATGACACGTGATACACATATTACAGAGGGCACACATCATATATACGGAAAATGCACTGATACTTGTAAATTAAATAAAAAATGCTGTGAGCATGCACAATGCTTGCATAAAGACCGTGCAACGGCAAATGGAAGAACACTTGCATTGCAGAGTGAAAACGTTAATTCACTCAAGGATGGTGAAGTTTAGATATTTTATATAAATTGACACAAGAAGGGAATGATGAATATACTATTTCATGCAGTGTATTGATACTTTGGAATAAAGGGAAATCAAGCATTATTGTGTGTGAATAAACAGAAGTTCTACCTGAAACTAAAGCGTTAATCCGGGAACATCTTAATATCTGAGATATACTCGATAACACCATCGTCTTACATATACATTAATGATGTGTAATTCTTATATAATATTCTTATTAGTTCGCCCTTAAAGGAGTCGTTTACTTAGTACATTGTCTTTGCAATACTATAATAATGATGTTAGAATAAATAAATGAAAAACTTTATATTATATGTGTACCTACAGTGGTCTTAGATAATAATAACAGTATAATATGAGTGGTTGTTTTTTATGTTTCATTGTTTCATTTTACTATGCCCTATGTTGATTATACAATTAACTCGTCATTTTCTTATAATATTGGTAAACAGAAAACTTAGATTCCCTATCATTCATTTTTAAAGGGTCATTAAATCTCAGAAATAAATATGTTTTCTTTTTTATAAAGGCCAAGCATAAGATATGACATAACATATGATATAACATAACATTAATTAACAATATGTAGTATGCTTATCATAAGTATGTAGAAAAATGCACGGCATGTGAAATAAATTGTGATAATGATGGAAAAAATAAAAAACAGTTACATTTTTACTTTGATAAAAAAACTTAGTCATCATAAATGCACTACTTACAAAAAAGGCTAAAAATGGATCATCTATTAGTGTATTGCCAATGATTGGCGTTTTAGAAACTGTAGCAGGGTACCAAAATTGAAATGCCTTAAGTTTAAAGAATAAAATTAAAAGCATTTGTATACTTAATCTGTTTTGAATTAGATAAACAACACAGTCGTCAGTTATTCAAAACAATACACAACTCTAAAACTTTACTTTAAAAAGAAGCACATGTCATATAACAATATTACAAGACATTGAATGATACTGATTTTGTGCCTAGAACAATATACATGTATTATCAATCTTATTAAATTGTAAGCATTGTTTCGAATTGGCATACATTTAAATCAGCTATTTCAATTTAGCTTGTTTTTACCGAAATAGGGGAAATTTAAACCTACCAACAAGACGGGTGACATTTATATGTATGTATGTCGTTGCTTTCTCGTATTCTTCCATTTCAATAGATACTATGACAGTACTGCGCTAATTCATATATACGCAGCAGTCCGAAAATAAATGTCAAGGAATATTATTGTCTTAGTTAAACACACTTTCTGTCAACGTGTGTATTTACGTCAACACTATGCTGCTATATAAGTTCTTACAGAGTTTAAATCTACGTTGAAATTGTTGCATCGAAGACAAGACAACGTCGAGACCATGCAAGAAATAATAACAATGGCCGGCAATTGTATTCAAAGAACGAAACGCAGAACAACTGCATGGATAAATTCCGTTGCATCTTTATTTCACACAGACACAGAGAGGACAGTTAGGCGGAGACAAAGAAGAAAGTATTATGAAAAGAAGTACAACCATGAGAGTAAGAAGAGCACTGTTGAGGCTCTAGAGAAATGGAAGAAAACTAGATGCACTGAGCTTTTGCAAATGAACATGGACAGTGGAAGGATGAATCAAATTCCGAAGAAATAAAGGAGTTGACGAAAATAATAAATATTTCATGAAATCAGAGATTACAAAAAAAAACAAAAACAAAAACTGAGGATTGTTGTTAAAATGATTGTCGAAATTAATATGATATCTTTGGACATGTTACGGTACTTTTTCTTGTTTTTGTATGAAAGGTATTTTTATGTATATGTAAAACTTTATATTGCAGATAGTAAGAAAATTATAATTGATATCAAATAGATTTAGTTGTAAATTTAGTGTGTTAGTAAATAAGTATATTTATCAATAACATTAAATTCATTTCAACTATTGACTTTTGTAGATATCAGAATTGTTTCATAAATAATCAAACATGTGGTAATAGTTTGCAATCGTACTGGCCGCATTACTTTAATTATTTGTAAAAACTTCTAAACAATGTTAAACTTTCTTTTGAAAAAAATAAACAACAAAAGATGCAGAAAAGAAACGGCTTTTTCTTCTTTCTTATGTCACGCCTGGTATATGATAGATCTACCCCTTTCGGAGGTATACGGTATACTCTTCCGAGCTAGTGCATATCGCTTAAATCAAGTGTCGAGTGTTTTCATTTTTTATATATTTTATAAACTCAATTTTTTAAACATCAAATATCGAAATTCGGAGAATGCTATGCGATGTAGATTTGATTAAAGTTTCCAGAAAACATAAAGTTGTTAACCCTGTGTTTGAAATGTTGTTGTGGCGGCATTTCCCAGTCAGCTAATGGATCGTTTCATCATGAACAGAATATTTTTCCTCCCATTTTCATCTGATTAAAAACAAATATGTTTCAAGCAGATATAAGGTCTAGAAATGAAATAAAATTGAATTCAGATCAAAACATTAGTTAACAAAGAAAATATAGGATATTTGTTCTTGGAGAAAGGTAAAATTTACTATATAAATGTCAGTTTTAAACAGTACAATCAAGATATTACCTTCTTTTTTTCTTTTTAAAGACATAATTTTCTATAGTATATACTGCACCAGTCGATGGCTTGATGAAAAAAAACTTACCTACCTCACAACTTTCAACCCGCAACCATTGGATCTAATTGCAACCAGTTAACGGGTGTGTTTATGTACAACTTGTGTCAATATTTACAACATAAAACGTTGTAAAGGTTTAAATTTACATCATCAAGTTCCATATAAATGTACGACCCTGTGGTGAAAATGTTTCTTTTGATGATATTTTAATTCAAAATCGCCAAAACTACAATGTGTGGGATAGTAGCTTTAAAGTTCGAATAAAATACAAAACGCAAGTTAAAACGAAAGAAACTGAACCTAATGTAACAAACAAAATGGTGTCGATTATTTTTTTTATTAATTTTCATTCATTTTTTTTTTCGTCTTAAGTCACACCGACAATGCAAGGTTATGTGGCAACATTCCAGATTTACTCGCGAGATTATATCCGTGCAATATGGCAGACACCTGTCGAAAATTGAGAAGACCCACAGGCGTTCCGTAAGTTTGCTAGCTCAAATGAAAGAATTCAAAATCCCTGACGCGGTTTGAACTCACAGCGGTGAGGGACAAGTGGTTCATAGTCAACGACCGTAACCACTTAGTCACTGACGTCCTATTTTAATTGTACACGGAAAAACTTGATTGAGCTGTCCATTGGTCATTTTAAGATAGAACAAACAGGATCCCCAAAGAACGCCCAAAACGACAAAATTGGTTCAATTGAGTCTGTTCATGGACTGTACTAGAAAATGCAAGTTAACGTCAACATCCCTAGCACCGGCTTAGGCAGAATTCAACATTTAAAAACAAAAAAAGTGAAATTTTGAATTTAGAAACTTCCGCAGATGTGTTTATTCGGTGATTATCATGGAACCATCAAGGGTACACTTTCGTGCCAGTCCATGAAAATCGGCGTAGGGTCCCCAAGTAAAAGAAAGTGTGTACCCTAAACGAAAATAATATGGGCGGAACTAAAATGGAATTTTGAAAGAGGATCTGAGGTTATGAAGCAGATTTAAAAACCTTTTTTTTTCCTACAGTTATTGTAGATTATTTGATTTCTATGCACAAAAAAATTTAGAGCGGATATATTCGGCTGATATTTATTGAGAAAACAATACGTCATTCAAGTGAGTTCATTCAGTACAGAGTTCGCTTTGTACATGTCAATTTTACTTATCGATCAATATAAGTAATAGTTATAGTACATGAAACTCATTAGTTACGAGGATATAACACAGACTGGGGCGACATCAAGGGACGTTACTGCTTAAAAATGGCGAGGCCGTTGGGCTGAGACAATTTTTTGCAGAAACATCCCGAGATGTCGCCCAGTCAGTGTTATATCCTCGTAACTAACGAGTTTAATATACTATAACTGTTTTATCGCAATGGCATATTTTTTTTCTTTCTTTGTAATAGAAATAAATAAATAAATAAATCGTTAGATACATTACAGTTATTTATGATAAGGCAGTTTTTTTAGTTGTTTTCGCTGCCGCAAAAAAAAGATATACAAAAGACATCCAATGTTAGAGGCGGATTGGAAAATGTTACCAATATTGATTCGAGATTAAAAGGCTTTTGTTTTCAGTGGAAATAATTCATTCAGTGGATGTGCTTTTTGATTAAATGACAGTAAATTTCATTTCATTAATTATCTTTGTTTATATTTTTCATTGTAAATATTTATTTATTTTATTTTATTGATTCCATTTTTTTTGCTACTGGGAATGTTTGTTACCACTGCCCCATTGGAGCCTCTGTGAAAAAATTACATTAATATATACACGGTGCGAAAACCACTCAACCGCTATATAGCAGTTGACTTTTTTTCCTATATGAATCAATGAAAAAACTGTTACAGTATTGTTATTTATCAATACAGTTTTTAAATGCTCATTGAAGTGTACTGAGTATAATGGGTTAGTAAGAACTACGGATTCCAAACCATGCGATAAACCATATTATTGAACAACACGAACAATACAACACGTTTGGTTCTTTTTCCTGCCAAAGGCCGGTAAAAAATAAGATTGGCTTTCTGTAAAAAATTATAAAATGAATATCAGACGTGTTTTCATTGGTCATTTTAAAATTACAAAATGAAATTTGGGAATCTCATTGACCATTCTAAAATAAATGTAAAGGGTAATTCTTGTCATTGTAAGATAGTTCTAAACTAAAATGTAAAGGAAAAAATCTTGCCATTTAGATATAAAATGAAAAGGATAGTTCTAAAACAATATGATAGCTTTTTAACTTTCCAGTCAAATAGCTCAGATATTTAAGTTCTAATTAACAACACTTCCTCACGCACGACATTTTACACTGCATTCAATTTACATTTTCAAGGGAACAGTTTATTTGACGTAAGATTTTACTGCGTTTATTTTACACAAGATATGAGTTTTAAGTTTTTCTAAAATGATATCAGAATGTATCAGGTAAACTAGGTTTGTAATGGTTTATAAGTGTCTTATATATTATATCATTATTGATGTGTTCAATTTATACAATGCTTACAATTTTTATTTATATTTTTGCATATTCATTAAGTATTTATAAAATATAATTGCCTATCGACTGCGTAGATGTTGGTCTTAGAAACTTAGTTCACTTACCGAAACACTACAGGTTCGTTAAGAAACACATACATCTTAGAGTGTTCCATTTATCAAGATTAAAAACCCTACAAAAAATAATATGCCATTGCTATGCAAGCTTTGCTAACATTTCTAGTATATGATCTTGCATGGAAAACTAACAACTTACACATTCAAGTTAACCAGTTTTATTTTCCCTGATTATCTTTTGTTTAAAAAGATAGACCTTGTTTTGTTTTTGTATTCAACTTTTTTCGTTTTTTTTTTATTTATTTAGGCAAGATACACAGCTATCCAAATTAAAGCATAAAACCAAATTTACAAATTTAAAAAATCTGCAATTTCATCGAAAATGGCGTCAACAAACCAATCTTTTTTTAGGATTATGATAAATATGTAATACGTGTTACGATCCTCATATTTTGAAAGCAAACGCTTTTCTATCATAGCATACTTTAAAAGCAAGTACACTTACTTCTAACTTATTCATTTTGTACGCACAGAATGTTTTAATTGACCTTGTTGTCTTAGTTTTATATATGTAAAAAAAATCTTTTGTGAGTACACCCAAAGAATATATCTATGTTTAAAACTCGGCACACTATGGGTAAACGAGCTGTGAATGCATACCGTCATTTGAAAAAATACCTGGAAGTTCTTTTAAGAAAGTTTCGAATAACTTTGCATTCTTTCCTTCAATTAAGAATTTAATACTTGTATTAAAACGCTTATTGCATACCGAATTTTCAAGCAAATTATTGAATCATTCTAGATCGTATAATTCATTTTATTTATGATATGATAATTCTTTTTCAGAGTACATATGTACCTTTATCGTTATATCGCGTTAGTCATGGAATATACATGTTTATTCACCTTTAAAAAGTGTCTGTGTTTCGTGACGTTTAGTGTCAACAACCATTTACAGTATAAACAAGTACATGTTTATATATATATTCCTGCGCCATTGTATATGTGATGATGGTAGTTATTATTAATCTTCAATTATTGTGCATTAGATAAGATAGAATGAAACCCCAACAATCCAGTTTTATATCATTAAAAGTGAACATACTCTATCAAACCGAGTCTGCAATTTTCATGTTATTTTGTTGTACTCATGTCTTTTCAGGGATATCCTTTTCTCTTAAAACATTTGAGACCTTTTACTAAGCTAATACGGGAGAGCTATTGTCCAACGTCTTGAACTGGTTATAAAGTACTTTTTTATAAGAAAGTAATGTAACATATATGTATTTGCTTTGCTATTTTCAATTTACATACTCGAAACAAATATGCCTTTGATCTGGCTCATGAATTTTATAATTTTATCTATATGAGTATAGCATTCAATTAATGATAGACAAAAAGCCATATTAAGTATTGTACAAATGATTTTTTATTCTACTTTTTCAGTCTTTAAAATAAGCTTTTGAATTAAACTTTGTTGATCTAAAGATCCCGAATCTGTAAATGTAATTGACTTTGTTCCAGTCTGACTTAGAAGGCTTAAAGATATGTGCATACAGAAGTAATTGGAGAACGGGGCTACAGATGATAAGATCTTTGAATATTTTCCAGGAGATAAAAACACGTCAGAGCTGTCAAATCATGTCAGTCTATTATAAAATACAAAATTTAGAAACACACTGGCTAAACAAACTACTTTTATTCTCATAAAAAAATAACATTGAAATCGACCGATATTACAACATTCCGCGCGATGATCGAAAATGTACACTCTGTAACTTAAACGATCTAGAAGACGAATTTCATTTCTAATTGGACAGCTTAAGTTGACTTAAGAAGACTGTACATACCCATGTATAAATATACCCACAAACATAATTGATTATTAAGTAGCTAAAAATGACTTAAGAAGACTGTATATACCCATGTATAAATATACCCACAAACATAATTGATTATTAAGTAGCTTAAAATGACTTAAGAAGACTGTATATACCCATGTATAAATATACCCACAAACATAATTGATTATTAAGTATACATTATGCAAATCAGTAAAAAGGATTTTTTGAAAATGGCTCATTGCTGTATTGTTACAAGGCTTTCAGATGTATGTCTTTGTTGTTTCAGACTGTTTTAGTGACAATTTTGCTTGTGTCCCTTCCCCTTGTTGTTTTCTTGTCTACGGTAAGTATCTTTCCCTTTGCCCCTAGTTTTTATCTCTTTGATTTACCCCCACCCCCTTCCCCTGGTCTCCTGTCCCCTTCCTTGTGTCCTTTAATTTTGTGGGCCTATTATTTAATCATTTATTTGTTTTCTTTGAATTCCTTATCAGTTACAATTATTTCCTATTATTCAATCATTTATTTGTTTCTTTGTATTCCTTACCAGTTACAAATTATTTATCATATGTCCATGCCCTGTTCTGTTTTTGTTTGGGGTCCGCCAGGGCTCCTTGCCACTTGTTCTTGTTGCTGGGGCGTATGGGGGTTGCGTTCAATGAACGCCTCCTTTCCTTGTTTATTTATAATCAACCTTTTTCTAAATCGCGGTCATGTATTACAAGACTTCAATTAAACCATTAAATATGATAATAGTCGCGGATGACTCATATTTTAATAGTCTTCAGTTCTGATGGTGAGTTAAAAGTACTTTAGATGAGATAGAAGCAAACATCAACAAAAGTTTGTTTATAATATGGAATGTTTTATAACAATTTAGACCCAGCAGAGCTAACACAGGAGAGTTGTAGCTCAACGGATCTATGACACTTGACCTTGAACTTTTCCACAATGATTCTTTTTTTGCTTTTATAATCTGCGTTTATGTAAGCAAAACATTTTGCCTTTGGTAATGGATTACATAAATCTTTGCAAACTTTTTTTTTTTTTTTTTTTTTTTTTTTAGACAAGAAAAAGACCAGATTGAATAACTTGAATGTGTGTTTTGAGAAAAGTATGCTTATGTTAATTATTTTTTAAATTTAAATTGGCAAACAACTAGTAAAGTTAATCAGACAAAACTATGCAATGCATTTGATTTGTGCTTTGCTATGATGCTTTTATATTTGAATTACTTTTTGTTGCACAGCGTTCGTTGAGCCATAAAACGTCTGACGTCATCTTATTCACCTGCGCCTTTTCCCTCGCTTTTTTTAAAAACCAGTCTAAAGTTGCTGGGTTTTCTTATGAACTTGCCGTCAATAACAAATTGCTTTTTTTATACATTTCTTATACAATTTAATGATTAGATGTACTGGAAAAATATAGCCTTCCTGACATATATATATATAACCATTTGGTAGCGCCTCGATCATATAAATATCATTCAGGCTATATTTTCCCGTACATTCCGTCAGAAACGTGTGTAAGTAACAATATACAAAACATGTAAGCCAGTCGAAATTTGAGAAATATTCAACTTCATATACCATTTAAGCTTATTTAAAAGACTCATTGGTAAAACTAACAAAATATCATGAATATTTTATTTTAACACAACTTTGACAAATATTTTCAATGTACATGTATGTTGATTTGTAAAGACATTCAAAAAATATATAATTATATAAATGTACGTGGGGAAAAACCGCTGCTTCTTTTCCTTCCTTCTTTTCCTTCTTCCTGTTTTTCCTTCTTTTTTATCATAATTATTATCATCATCACAATGAACAATAATATTTGTATTATGAACTCCAAACCTAAACAACTCACGCAAGCATAACTGATTGCAGACCAAAAAAAATGTGATAATTGTAATTACGCTTATTGTAACTAAAACAAAGTGCAAACGTTTTAATAAAAAGATAACTTGACCTGTTCCGCGTACTTTATATGGGGCAGTTTAGAGTCACCTCTTAAAAGAAGCTTGATTATTACATAGTGTAAATGTACGATACGAAATCATATCAGGCTTACCAAACATATGACTTATTTTTTCTAGAAAAAAAAATATATCAACAAAATAATTAATAACAATGACAGTTTCTTTCACTCTTTGCAAATATTTAACTACATTTAAATAATTGAACGTGTTTCTTTGAAGACGACACCTTGTAATGTGTTATAATACGAATTTAGATAGGAAGCACGCCATTCCATTTAAAACCATCAGATTGATAATGGAAAATGCCACATTGTTTCCATGATTACAGAAAGTTGTAGTACAAACACATTTTCCGTATCCAAGGACATCCGAACAACTATCTTCCGTTTCTGTGCTTGTGCCACAACGCCTTGTTATCTTTGACCATACTGGTGAATATAATATAATATATGACTGTATAATCAATATATCAATGTGTTAATGAATATGATCTTCTTCCATACTTATTAACATGTGTTAGTGGCGACATTGTCGAGTTGAACTACAAATGTAGTAAACTAATGATTGCTAGCCACATGGGTTCAAACCCCGTCAGGCGTAGGCTAAATTTCGTCAATATATACACATTGCAACCTTTGGTCTATACCGGTTAGTTCTAGGAACGAATTCGAGGGTATGTATTAGCTTAAAGCTTCCGGAACAATCGAACTTAAACGGATTCTTTATAAACAAACAAGTGTAAAAAAGAAAACCTCCTCGTACACTTTACTTTTTCTTACATAATTCAACAGCTCAAATGTAAAGCAAAAGACTTGCTAACTTTTATTCTGCGTAAATTTGTGAATAAATTTCAAATCACGTTCCCACATATTGAAATTTCTAGTTGTATCAATTATGGTTAAATAACTGGGTGTATACGAAATATTAAATGTAAAACATAAGTTTAGATACATTACTTGTTCCCTGGGCATGGAATGTTTTCACGCAAGACTTGCATCCGGAAGTAACCTTTCCATTGATAATAAGTACATCTCCGTCGGGGTTTTCACCACAATCTTCCCCGTCGTCGGCGGAATTACATTCATAGCAATCTATGCAATTCCCTGTTTAAAAATATATATAAGTTAAATGAAAAAAATAATGTAACGGCTTAATTACTCGTTTAGTTTGTTTTCTCTTACTCTCTAAAAGTCGGATGAAAATGAAGACTTAATTACTCTTACCGTTTAGTTTGCTTTCTTTTACTCTCTTAAAGTCGGAGTTTACAAAACATAATAACATGAAGGCCATACTAAAATTACTTTAGAGCAGACAAAAGATCTTGAACCGAGAATAATATTATGGATACCAGACATAAAATAACTCAAAGCATTAGTGAGCACTGTCTGATTATTGGCTATAGGGTGTAGCCTTTTAAAGGAAACTTTTTTTCAATTTTGTTTGTGATGACGGTAGTCCTACTTCAGTTAAACCATGTTTTTAACAGTGTTCTTTACTGTTTTTGAAAACCTAAGAACACTATTTTCAGCATGTACGATACGCAACGCGCTTCCAATGATCTCAAAACTAGAAATGTGTCCATAGGACATGGGTGCTCCCACACGCCACTGTTCTGTCAATCTTATGACTCTATGTCAAATATTTTTTGGACTACATGTGCCACAAGTTGAAAACTAAATATTTTTTACTAAGTAAAGGGCAAGAACTTTACAAATACTGAATAAATCCACAAGCAAACCCCAAGGTGTATAAGTACACATGCTGACCAACATTCTTGTAAACTTTCAGGCCTACAAGTCAAATACTTTTTTGAGCTATGCATGAACAAGTTGAAAATTGCAAATTTATACTACTGTACTCTAACAAAACTGAAAAAAATCCACATGCAAAGTCCCAGGTGCATAGCTTCACAGTGATATGATCATTATTTCTGTAATTTAGTGATGTTGATCATTATTCTTGTAAAGTTGGTTGATTCTAACTCAAGCACTCAAGCAACAAATAACAGCATAATGAAACGGTTTTTACTAAGTCAAGGGAAATAACTCTACAAATACTGGATAAATCCACAAGCAAAACCTCATGTGCACAACTACATATGCTGAGCAACCTTCCCGTAATGTTTAATGACTCTATGTCAGATCCTTTTTGCAAAAAATTTCTAAGCCAAGGGCAATAACTCTAAAATACTAAATAAATCTAGACGAAAATACCCAGGTGCACAACTACACTCTTATCAACATTTCTGTAAAGTTTCATGACTCTATGTCTAAAATACTAAATAAATCTAGACGAAAATACCCAGGTGCACAACTACACTCTTATTAACATTCCTGTAAAGTTTCATGATTCTATGTCAAATCCTTTTTGAGTTACATGCGACACAAGTTGAAAATTGCAAAATTTTACTAAGTCAAGGGCAATAACTCTAAAAATACTGAAAAATCCACACGATAATACCCAGGTGCACAGCTTCACATGCTGATCAACATTCCTGTAAAGTTTCATGACAAGGTCAAATCCTTTTGAGTTACATGCGACACAAGTTGAAAATTGCAAAATTTTACTAAGTCAAGGGCAATAACTCTAAAAATATTATATAAATCCCCACAAAATACCCAGGTGCACAATTAAACATGCTGATCAACATTCTTGTTAAGTTTCATGACTCTAGGTCAAATACTTTTTGAATTACGTGCGACACAAAAGAGAACGGAGAACGGACGGAAGGACGGACGGACGGAAGGAAGGACGGACGGACGGACGGACAAGGGTATATCTAAATGCCCGCCACTAAAGTGGGGGCACAAAAAAAGTAAAACACAAATAACGCATAAAACAGTATACTCTTGATACACGCTTACATGTCTTCTACTGTTAGACAGTAGTAAAGTTTAGATAAAAAATAACACAAATTTCTACTTGAATTCAACTAATTTGAGTAATAATAGACATTTAATGCTTAAACTGGCTTAAACTGGTATTGATTTTAAAGAGAAAGCATGTCATCTTAAAGAAATGTTAAAACTGTCAGATATCAAACTTTTGGAATGAAGGGAAATCAATTTAAGATCAATCGTATACCGATCAATAACATAATACAGCCAATTCATTTTCAAAACTGTTTCTACAAAAATAGACATACTTTAAATGTAGTTATAAATACTCATAAAGACATGTTGATTCATAGGAACCATTGTAATGTTTTGTTTGAATAAGGTTGCCAGTACTTTAGTACTTTGATTTTTATAAAGTTTGAAATATGACTTTCTTTTTTCAAATATAGAAATATAATATATGTCAAAATTTTAATTTACAATTTCTGTACATGTTTGGGACAATTTTGACATATTTTGTAATGTTTATCTGCCAAAATCAATTTAAAAAAAGGTGCCGAAGATATAAACTATGATTATAAACATGTAAATGTATTCCATTTAACTTTTTGTACAAATCTGAACATCTTCGATATGAAACTTTTCAACTATCAGTTGATAGAAATGAGCCGCGTCATGACAAAACCAACATTATGGGTTTGCGACCAGCATGGATCCAGACCAGCCTGCGCATCCGCGCAGTCTGATCAGGATCCATGCTGTTCGCTTACAAACACTATAACATGTAGAGAAACTGATAGCGAACATCATGAATCCTGATCAGACTGCGCGGATGCGCAGGCTGGTCTGGATCCATGCTGGTCGCAAACCCATTATGTTGGTTCTGTCGTGACGAGACTCAAATGTACTTTGCAAATAAACTTCTTTTATAATTCGCTACCACTGCAAAAGATTAAGAAGGTAATTATCAGAAGCATGTCAACCTTGTATTTTATAACATATCTACAAAAGTCATAAATAATTTACGGAGGTCTTCATTTTTTCATCAAAGTTACACAAGTTTGTATAATCATACCTATTTAAGAACAAAGATAATAGTAAGAATAGTTTTCTTGCTTGTTGTTTTTTAGTTTGTTATTTTTTTTTGTTGTTGTTTTGTTGGGGGTTGGTTTGGGGTGGTTGTTTTTGTTTTTGTTATATTTTTGTAGTTTTTCATTTTTTGCATTGGTTTTGGGTGGATCGTTTTGTTTTCTTTCTTTCTTTTTTTCCAAATAATCCAAATAGTTCCACCATTGAAACATTTGTATGAAAACAATGTTATCTAGATTGAAAAGTGAAATATCGCCAAAAATGAAAATGTCTCAAAAACAGAAAGTAACCAATTAATTAAACTTACATTATGCCCATATATATTATATAGTGATAAGCATTTGAAATCCGAAATAACAATAATTAGTTAACATTTTGCCATAATTTCTTCCAATTTTATTTTTTACTTCAGCTATGAATGATAAATAACTCATATAACAAAATAGTAAATTTCTGTAAATATCCATCGGAATTTACCAGTCACGTTGAATTTATCAAAAAGAGAGGGATACACTTTTAAAATTCTAGACAGATTAATATTTTATCGTAAACATTTTCCAATATCAACTGTTGGTAAATCGCTATTAAAACTACCACTCTGCGGAAATATATGTTTAATTCAGCTCAACTTGACAAGGAATAGAATGGGCATAATGAAACATTAAGCATGTAATCGCTTTAAAATATTTTTCTTTTTAATTTCAAATAAATGCATAGATCATATACATAATGAATAACAAAAAACAGAGCTCTAAAAACATATCGTTCAAATGATATTCAAAATCTTTATTACTTTATAATAAAGAAATGCGTTCATGTTACAAATAGGTTAAGTTGAATACAAAGCATTATTCAAAATAAATACTGTTTAAAATCAATAAAAGTGAATGCGACATAATATTCAAGTTTAAGATGCTTTTACAGTCTATTTAACTGACTTCTAATTTCTTTACATTTCAACAATTTGAATGTTTGGTATAATGTTTCAAAAGATATTAAGATAAACCTTTATGAAATTATTTTAATGACAGACTTGTTATTTCTATAGGGCTTCGTTTCAGTTCGTTTAATTTATTCTTTTATTCAGATAAAAAATAACTATATGTAAAACACATGCCAATACAATTTTACAGCGGTACTCTTCAAATTAAAATAAAAACATAAATATTTTAATAATCTACATTGAATTCAGTTAAACAATCAAACATCTCACACTAAGCAACAAGATTCATGATTAATTATTTTCATTTTGTTGTTTTTTTTACATGCGTTTTATTAATACTATCAATAAGATTATAAATGGTATTCAGAATTAATTCACTAAAAGTGCAGAAATAGTCACTGAATTTTTCTTTATTCATACATCTAAACATGGCTTAGGATTAACAAACTTCGTCGTGTCTTTTAATAACAACCATAATATTACGACCTTGAATCGAGTGAAATATAAATCATTGTAAATGTATGTCACGTGACAAAAAACTGCTGTATAGTCATATTACAGTAAAAGATACTTTACAATAACTTAATGTTAAGGCCCAGTTACACAGACGGTCGGTCCCCAATCGGTCATTTAATTTTAAATTTACTCGCTGCTATGATCGGTTGTCATGCGTGATTTTATTTCTGGTTTTCTGTGTAAACGGCCATCGGTGACAGAAAACAAACTCAAACGGGAATGAGTCGATGATTAAATACTGAAATACTTTTGGTTTTTATCGTTTGTAAATCGGAGCTAAATCGGGCGTAACGCTGATTAATCGGTGTTTGATAGCTAGTCATCAGTGGTTAAACACTTTCCGTCAGATATGGCCAGTGATTCATATTTGGTTATCTTTGTCCGATCGGTGATATCGGTAATTAAGAGCTTGCATATCTCGTGATATAGGTTGCCGTCGGTAATTTTTAAAATATTTTCACCGATCGAGAATTTTAAACGTGTTTAAAAATCCCAATCGGTAATTTTTCACCGATGAAACTTATCTTTCCCCAATAGCAGTTGATAGGTGGAAAACAGGTGACCAATAGGTGATATCGGTGATCAATACGTTGTCATCGGTTCACTCCATAATTTGGCTAAAAAAACTACCGATCAATCACCGATGGCTCTGTGTAACTGGGGTGTTATAGCTAATTTTGTAAATTTAGATGTTATAATCTGCCATTCATAATCATGTTTATATTCCCTATAAAAAATCAACTTTATCGTTAAGATACTCAAAAACAGATTACAGAAAATAGCTTCAATATTGCATGATTGACAAAATACGAAGCAGTGCCATTTAATAAAAGGCCTGTTCTAATTACATTAAAGGCCAGTGAACACTACAAGTTGTACCCAATTTACCCAATACATTACTAATTTGCGAGAGAGTAAACTTTTAAAAATGTTTGTTTGTAAGTTTTACAATGTAGTATGTAGCGAATTGAAAGATATTTATTATACGTCAAATTTATTATAACAATTCATGGTTAGATAGGCAAGGTTTACATCGTTGTAAATACAGAAGCTCGGCTTCGTACGGTTAGTACAAATTTCAGTGATGTTTACCGGTGCATTCTTTCTGATTTAATCATACTTTTCTGTTTTAATCGGTTAATAATTTTGTGGGTTTTTTTTGTAAAGGGTTAAGATTTTATAAGCATTTGCAAGCACATTCAAAATGTCATGTTGAGTACAACTCAATAGCAATACTACTTGGCATATGCGTAAAAAAAACATTTATGTGAATAGGTTTATTAAAACTTTGAATTTTCTTCAAAAAATGCCATACTTTGTATTAAATTGGTGTGAAAAACACTTGCATACAAAATAAATTTTTATGTAAGTATTATTTGTAATATCTGGACATTCCTGGTACAGAGTACCTCCCGGTATAAAGTACCTTGAGGATATTACTTCTAACTGGTTGTCAGGGGAGCTAAATACTGATATCGGTGTATTGTACTTCAATTCAAAATCTATATGAAACTGTGAACAAATAAGACCCTTTTTTAGATTTGTAACATAAAAGTGCTAACAATACGTAACAATACGTAATACGTATACTATTACACACAAAGGATACTTCTGAATGTCATTGCTTACTTGCAATAGATAATGTCACGTCAGATTTTGAGTACCTATCTAAAATTATTTTATAAAAATGGCATCCATCCCATAATAAATCTTTAAAATAACCACCATTCTGATAAAATATAAAACATTGTATTCAAAGGAAATAGGTAGACACTCACCTTCTTGAAAATTCGCAAAAAGTACACAAGATATTAGTAAAATATGTAATATTTCCATGATATTAAAATTTCTTATTCATACATATAACAAACTCGTATCTATAAATATGATAAATTATAATGAAAAATAGAACACTAAAGTACAGTATTCTATCATTTAAACTGTTTGTCATTTTGTATTGAAAAATGATTGAATCTTATTACGCAGAGCTTTTGTCAAATACAAAGGGTTTTTCAAATTGTGTTTTTAATCAATACTAGTGAATGTGGCATTAAATTCATGTTTAAGATGCTTTAAAATAATCAAAATTTTATTGTCGCTCTATTTCTTTATATGTCACCGATTTTAAATGCTTGGTGTTGTATGACGAATATATAAAGTATAAATATATCAAATCATTCTATTGACAGAATTGCAATATTGATTTTTATTTCTTTTTCATGAGTAAACTGACAGTTGATTTGATTTAATCTTTGATTAAAATGAAATACTTCAATTCTACAGCCCCTTATTTGTAAACGAAGTTCAGAAAACATTGGCTTTCCATTTGAAGATGGGGTATTAAAATGCTTTGCAACATAGCAAGAAAGTATAAAGGACTCCCAAAATAAATCTAGTCATTCCGTAGTAAATCATGCGTCTTATTCAAAATCATATGTTTGTACTACTCTGTCAACATCTTTTCTCAAGAAATATTTTTTTAAAGTTTGTCTGTTTTTCGCGGACCCGCTTTAATTACTCCGTTGCACGAGAGATAATGAAAATTGCATCATCTCACACGCACCCTCGCACCGTCTTAAACGGTATTCAATCCTCAACATTAAAGTCATTGGATTAATATATCCAAGAGGGAATATAAAATGAGAGGTATCGGGTTTTACGTCGCACTAACACCGAAAACGTCATTTGGCGATTTTTATTTCTTGAAATTCAACTTTCAATTCAAATTCTTTATTCTATCTCAGTGCATCATACATGATACAAACATAAGGTATGTCAATAATGAACATTTGTAAAAACAGCAGTTTGTTTGATTGGGTTTTACGTCACACCGACACAGTCAAGGTCATTTGGCGACGTTCAAGCTTTACTGGTGGAGACCTCAGGTGCCCTTCCGTGAATTATTTCAGGCACGAACGGGCATCTGAGTAGAACCACCGACGTTCCGTAAGCTAACTGGATAGCTTCCTTACATGAAAGAATCCAAAGTCTCTGTCGGGATTCGCGGATTCGAACCCACAGCGGTGAAGGGCAGGTGGTTTGAAGTCAACGACCTCGGACGCCCCCACCCCCCAAAAAAACAAAAAACAAAAAAACAAACAAAAAACAGCAGTACGTACTTTGCAAGTCATTACAGAGAACAATCAAAATACATGAAAAAGATTAACCATCTATTGTTTGTTTTTATTTTCTTCTTTCGTTCAGTAGGGAAGTAATTTATTTAGTGTAATGATTATGCAGCATAATTAACATATACAAAACACTTTTTTTCAATAAACAGCTGATAATTATATTTGACCACGTGTTATTTATAGTCGGAAAATAACATAAAATGATGTTTATTTCGTATAATCATCTTTTGACACCTGTCATGTATAATTTCGGGCAAACGACAGTATTTGTTTTTATAAGAAGTGTAGATTTAAACTGATTGTGAAGTTTAAGTTATCGAAAATTGTGTCAACTGAATTTTAACACATTTTTGCGGGGTTTATTTATTTCCTTATTTCACGGGCATTACGTAACGTGGTCTCACGTGGGTTTTATGTTACTCTCAGAAAGTGTTTATGGATTTATTTCTATTGTTCTAAAGTTTGGATTAATCTTTATAAAGTGATTTTTGGATACAGTTCACTATGAACTTTGGTGCAATGACTGGAAAGCTAGTGTACAGTGCTGTTGTCATTAAGGAAAACGTAAGTGTTAACATTTAATTGTTAATATCATAGATATGAGCTTCACGGGGGAGAATCACGCCGTTCGTTACCCAAACAAACAAGATTGCGGATGCAGCCGAAAAGTAAGTTTTTCCCTTTTTTCTCTGAAATTCGTAATGGTACATATAACAACCTTTTCCACAATTTTCCGTGCACACAGGATTTTATTTCATGATGTTTTGTCCCGTACTTCATCTAAAATTGAATTTTAAAAAATTAACTGCACTCTTTCTAATATATCTAAATTTACAAATCCACAAATTTCACAACCACATTGGTCTAATAGTTTTACAAAAAGATATCAACTTGTAGATCAATAGGTAAATCAAGTATTCTGATCTTTTTTAAAAGTGTAAAACATGGCTTTATTTGCTTGTTCCGCAATATGCTTTTTGGCTGTTTAATTGCTGCCACTTCTTGATACATACATATATGCCTGGGTATTTATATTCATTTACTATCCCTAATTCTCGACCATTGAATAAAACTTTATATTATAATTCTTTTTCCCACTAATAATATTTTGCTTATGCTAACATTAACAATTAATTTTCACTGTAAACAATATTTCTCAAAAATATTCAAAACTATTCTGCAAGTCAGCTTCATTTTCACTTACTATAACAGTGTCATTAGCATAAATTATAATGAATATTTGTAAAAATTGATAAAAACCTTTACACTGAGCAACACTATTTACACCTTTGCTCTTTTTTCACAAAAAAAACTCTTCTAAATCATTCAAAAATAATGAAAAAGGAGAGGAGACAAACTTTCTCCTTGTCTTACACCTTTTGAACAATTAAAGAGTAGAGAATTACTATCTTTTGTAACAACTGGATTTAATGTTTGCATTATACATACTTTTAATCAGGTCAAAACATTTACCATTTATGCCATATTTTAAAAGTTTAAACCACAGTCCTTGTCTCCAAACAGAATCAAAGGCTTGTTTGAAGTGCAAAGCATAGCTTTTTTATTTGCATTAAGTAAATCTGTGAGACATTGAAGAACAAAAAGGTCATCTATTGTTGAATGATTCTGTCTAAAACCAGCCTGACACTTTCTAATAACATTGTTTTCTTCTACATACTTATTCAATTTACTTTTTATAAAAGCTGTAAATAATTTACCAACACAGCTTAACAGTGTAATGGGTCTTACATTTTCTGGCATTGTTTTGTCACCTTTTTGCTTATAAATAGGAATAATGTTTCCACTTGTCCAGGATTCTGGAATAATGGCTGTATCCAACAAAAAGGTTAAACAGTTTTACATAAATAGGCATTATACGGTCAATCGTAGTTTTATATGTTCATTAATAATTTTGTCAACACCAAGGCTTTAATTGCTTTTTAGTGTTCTTAATGCTTTTAAATTTTCTTCTCCTGTTATTGGCAGATTTATTTCATCATTTATATCACGTGAGAATTCATTACTTTCAAAAGAGTTTTCATTTATTTCTTTAAAAAAATGTGTACAGTTTATCTAAAGAGGTGCTTTCTGTTGGTTTCTAATCAACAGAATTGATTATTTTCCAGAAGTCTCCACTACTTTAAGACTAGCAATTTCTTAAAGATTTTATTTTATTTTGTCTATATTATTTAACTCGTCTTGAAATTGTTGATTTATATTCTTTACTTTCATTTTTGTGTCGCCTCTACGGAGTAGTGGCGACATATAGGGATCACTTCTCCGTCGTCTGTCTGTCCGTCTGTCTGTCTGTCTGTCCGTCCGTCCGTCACAAAACTTGTCCGGACTACTGCTCATAAACTACTGGTGCAATTTCATCCAAACTTTACAGGAATGATCAGTACCAAGTCTAGTTGTGCATATTGTCAGCTTTTTCCGGTTCAATGATTTTTGTCAGAGTTATGGCCCTTTAATAATTTTTAATTTTAAAGTTTGTCCGGACTACTTCTCTTATACCACTAATGCAATTTCAATGAAACTTTACAGGATTGATCTGTAGCTCAAGTCCTTGCGCATATTGCACGGGTTTTCCGGTTGAATGATTTTTGGCCGAGTTATGGCCCTTTGACAAAAAGGTGTTTTTTCTGTGTGTTGCCAAATACACAAAAGCTTGTCCGGACTACTGCTCATAAACTACTGGTGCAATTTCATCCAAACTTTACAGGAATGATCAGTACCAAGTCTAGTTGTGCATATTGACCGCTTTTTCCGGTTCAATGATTTTTGTCAGAGTTATGGCCCTTTAATAATTTTTAATTTTAAAGTTTGTCCGGACTACTTCTCTTATACCACTAATGCAATTTCAATGAAACTTTACAGGATTGATCTGTAGCTCAAGTCCTTGCGCATATTGCACGGGTTTTCCGGTTGAATGATTTTTGGCCGAGTTATGGCCCTTTGATAAAAAGGTGTTTTTTTCTTTGTGTTGCCAGATAAGCAAAAGCTTGTCCGGACTACTCCTCATAAACTACTGCAATTTTATCCAAACTTTACAGGAATGATCAGTACCAAGTCTAGTTGTGCACTGTCCGTCTGTCTGTCCGTCTGTCACAAAATTTGTCCCAACATGAAATTGGCCATCATGAGGCGACACATGTGATTACTGATCGCTCTTGTTATCATTTATGTTAACACATTCTATCTTTACTTCATGTTTCATTTTCAAACTCAATGAGATAGGATAGTGTACATCAGACAGTAATGAGCAAAAATCTCCCACTGTTAGTGATTTTAGATATTTAAAACATTCAGTATTACATATATAGTAATCTACCACAATTTTTCCTTTTCATGTCGTTTTACAATTGTCATAGTCAGGCCTTATTCTACCATTCAAAATGAAAATGTCATTGCTTTTACAAAAATCCAACAGTTCTGAACCATACTCATTTTTAACCGTATCAATATTTCTTCTTACGATAGGAATATCAGAATGTATAAATGATTCAAAAAGTAATTGGTTTTCCTCATATGCCTCACTATTACCATTTAAATCATAAAACTACCTTTCTTAGAATAATCTCTTTCATTACTAACCCTAGAGTTAAAGTCTCCAAATAACAACATATTTGTCAATCTCCATTTGTAGTTCTAAATAAGGATCAACATGTGCATACCTGGTTCAAATAGGTGGAATATATACTATTCCACAAACAATTTCTTCTTCATTTTGTGTTCGATTAAATTTAATTTCGAAAATTAGCATTAGTTTAGTTTGGCA